AAAGTGTATAATAAACTACCAAGATGGCTTTCACCTACGGAAGCTTTTGTATATCCAAATGTATTGAACTTTAAAGAAATCATAAGATATGACGATATTTTGGATAAGGAGGGTGGCTTGAAACTGGATCAAGAAATACAAGAACAGGGACTTAATATCTCCTGGTGGTATAAGGTACAGATGCAATCGACATATGCTAAAGATTGTAAAGCATGGGGGTATTACAAAGACTTAACAGTTTGATCAAGTGATGCTTAAAACAGATGAGAAAGTTATTAAAAGTTTATATGATTTTTTTACTTGACAGGAAAATGGAAGGGGAACAGGTTAAGGAAACTATGATAACATGGGCACAAAACTTTGCATTTAATGTTGAACTAGAAAAGTGGCAAAAACTATGGGAAAGAAATATTAAGGTAATATTAGCAACTTCGTATAAAGAAAATTTATATAAAATGTTTTATAGATGGTATTTGTCGCCAAGTCGTTTAGCTAAGATGTTTCCAAATATGTCAAATAGATGTTGGAAATGTAAACATAAAGTGGGTACTTTTTATAATATGTGGTGGACTTGTGATAATGCGAAAAAGTATTGGATTAAAATACATAAATGGATGGAGGAAATACTACAAAAATCCTTTGCTTTTAAACCTGAAGTTTTCTTGTTAGGCATCATACCAGAAGATATTAACAGACAGGAAATGTATTTGATGTTACACTTAATCACAGCGGCGAGGATTGCATTTGCTCAATACTGGAAAAGTGAGGAACTACCCACCAATGAACTGATTTTAAGGAAGATTTTGGACTGCGCAGAAATGGATAGATTGACTTTATCACTGAAGGAGAAAGAAGAAACTGACTTCTATCAAACTTGGAATTTTTTCTATAACTGGCTGAAGAAACGGGACTTGGCGTAAATTTAGAGATGTTTTAGGCAAACCCAATCAGGAATCATGCAGAATGATGGTATGTACAGACAGTCCCTGGATTACAGATGAGTTCTGCTCCTGAGAAAATGGAAATTCATCTGTAAGTTGAATTTGTTTTTTAAGTCAGATCATGTATAGTCACCCCGCCACATTCACAGGGAGGCAGGGGCTCAGAACCCCTGTGAAAGTGGAAAAATATATCTAGCCTTCCCCCACTCAAACTCACCAGTGCCTCCTTTTGCAGCAAGGAAATACCAGAGAAATTTTCCAATTCAGATGGACAGAGCAGGAAGGCGTGTTTTGGAGGTCTCCCTTCCCCCTGTCCCTTCCTTTTTCTCCATGGTAATAACAATTTTCTGCAGTAATTTTTTAGGGTTAGGGAGAACCCAGGCAAGGTGAAGATCAATGCCAGTTAGCCCTACTGGGTTGTGGAGGCTGCAACAGCCACCCAACTTTGGTTCTGATGGTAGCATTTTCACTGGAAAACTCACAAGGCAGTGCAGGTACATCCCCTATAGTTTGACTTAAATATCAATATTCTGAAGTATATTAATATGGTTGTGAGGTCTAAGGTTCTGATGTAAAATATCAGGATTTAGTCTCCTTCTCAGGGACTCCCAGAGAAAAGAAGAAAATCTGGGGAAAAAATTTGGCTCAAAATTTTTTGTATTCTCTCTACGACATGGGTCAGAAGGTTTGGCCATTACTTATGGACCGAATAGACAAAGTAGTCTTCTTCGATAGCTTATCCCCTAGTAAATTATAGTGAATATTTTTCACAGAAAAAACATTGTATTTTTTAAGCTGAATGCAGAATACTTGTTTGAAACAATACGCTTGATGCCTTTTGCCCAATTAGTATCAGGAGGTCTAAAAGCTACTAGAAAAAAAGCTTTGTAATATATTGAAATAATTTTTGGTAGTATCACTGAAAGGATGCGGAACACAAAGTACAAGCTCTGAAAGTATGACATCGACACATTTTGGTTTTTAGATTTCATTTATGGATAAAATTGTTCACAGAGGCTGAATCATGGTCTGTCTTCTGCATATTATACTCCAAAATTTCCACCTGCATGTTTAGAGAGAGAAAAGCCCTGAAATGCTGGCTGGAGATTGCTGGGAGTTGAAGGAGTTTGTTCTCTCTAAATGTACATCCAACAGTGAGTGTGGCATTGGACTGGGGCTTAGTAGATTTGGGTTCTAGTCTTCACTCAGCTACTCAACTATGAAGCTCATTGGATGACTTTGGACCATTCACTGATTCTCAACCTAACCTACTTCACAAGGCTGAAGTGAGGATAAAATGGAGAGGAGAAAGGCAGTTATGTTAGCTGCTTTGGGTTCTTGCAAGAGGAAAACAGGTGGTTTATCAATGTAATAAATAAATAAATAGGATTGCACCCTTAGCCTATTATCTGAACTTAATCAAGGCTTGTTCAAAACTCTATTGATATAATATTCCTGGCATACAGTAGTACTTCAACACTCACCTTTTTGTCAGCACACTTCTTTCAAGAAACACTAGCCTTTAAATGGAATGACTGAAAGAGGGATTCAACCAGATACTATTTTTAAATAGCTGATGACCCTAGTAAAATTATTAGCCATGATGTCTGGAGATGATAAATAGCTTTAACTGAAAAAAGTCTTTATTGCATATATTAGTGTGTGTGTGTGTGTGCATACACATGTGTATGTTAGAAATACATTATCAATACAGTGTGACAAATGCAATGGTGAAATAAAAGAGATGAAAATGAAAGAGAACTTGATTCAATGGCAGTAGTTTGGATTGTGCCAATATATCAAATGCCATACAAATACACAAAACAGCAAAGCTAGAATACAAATGCTTCTCAAACATCTTTAGGAAACCTAAAAGGAAATATAATTATTAACTCTTTCAAGGTCAGATTCAAAGGGGTCTTCACCCCCTTGTTTGACACAGTATTGCACATGGTAGATTGCTGTACCCTTCAAATTGTTCTTCTTAAAGAAACGTGTGAGCACTGCACAAGACTGCTTCAATCCACAAAATGTAAGAAAACTCAAGAAAATAAATGCTGGAGAAGACCAAAGACCTCATTTATGCAGTGGCTGGCCAGATGCTTATGAGAAGCACACTACAGGCCATAAATGCAAACATCCTCCCACACATGACTGTGTATGCCTCAGAAAGTGGCTTACACAACTATACTACCTCTGATTCAGCAAGCATCATATTGCCATCAATCCTAGTTGCTATTGATTGCCTTATCCTCTGTGAATTCCTTTAGTCCTCTTTCAAGGCTGTCCAAGTTGAAGCCATCAGCCTATTTTGCGGGAGCCAGTCTCATAGTTTAACTATGCCTTGCCTGAAGTTGATTTGTTCTGAAAATGTTCTGAATCTACCAGCATCCAGCTTCACTATATTCATTTTCTCCGCATCATGCATAATTTTATATACCTGTTATGTTTCTTCCCCTTCTGCCCTACTTACTTGCCTCTTTTTAGAGCTCCAAATGTTGTCCCATCACAAGGCAGTTTTCCAGTCCCTTAATCCTACAGCTCTGGACATTGTGGTTGCATTGCAGATTTGTACTTCTGCATTATACAAATGCCTTTATACAAAATTGCACCATGCAACCTCATATATCCAGGGTTACAAGAGTTCCATTCCTGAGAATGTCTTGAATTTGTTTATAAGTCAGATCATGTAGAGCTGGCTCTCCACATTTATTAGGGTTATGGGGGCAGGACTCCCACAAAAGTGGGAAAACCTTGAATATCTCTAGTCACCTGCTCAAACTCACCAGTGCCTCCTCTTTGCACCAAAAAAATGTCAGAGAAATGTTTCTCTCTGGATGTCTGGGGCAAGAAAGCATGCTTTGGAGGACTTCCTCTATCTCCTTTCTCTTCCTCCCTATGATGACGACAATTTTCTGCAGTAGGTCATGAACTCAAAATTTTAAATTAATAGGCTTTGTAGCAGTTTGTTTGTAAGTATGGGTTGTTCATAGCTTGGATGTTTGTAATCCAGGATCTGCCTATACAAGATAGCACTAAGTTGACCTTTGCCCAAAGTGTTGTTTGTGTTGCAAAAAATACTGGCAAGCCTGGCATGCCTCACTAAGCATACTACAACTACACAGAAAATGAAGTTTGTAAAGCTTTTCATCATACACTGAAACATACAGGAGCGTGTTCCCTTTCAGATGGCACTGAGGCATGTCTAACCCAAACCTTTATGAATTGTCAAACATGGTTGACCAAAGCAACACTAAAAATACATTTAAAAGAATAAGGAAGTGTGGTGCTGCCAAATAACACTTTGAACAACCCTAAATCATTAACACATACCTTCAAGAGGGCATCATCTACCTTGAATGCAGACCAGTCCAACACTTTCTGTAAAAGTGAAGTGTAAACTATGGAACATCTTGTCAATAATAGCCAAAACAGGCAGAAACAAATAAGGAACGGGAGTGCTGTTTCCCATTTAAACTTTGGACCACCCAAAATCATAAACGGTCGGAAAACTACTCATTACATATGGCCATACAGATGGCTAACTATTGTAGTTGGGTCACAGGCTATCAAAAAAGGCTGCTCCTTTATTCATTGCAGATGAAGGCAGTTGGGAAGAAAGGCTGCTCCTTTTTTTCATAGCATTACCTTTTTACACCTCGGGCCCAGCATGGTGAATTCTTACTGACTGAACGACCGGAGGCGGCGGGGTTAAATGGGTTCGGCTTCCAGCAACAGACACAGAAGGATCCGGGTCCTACCTGCCTACAGGCTGACCTTTATAGCTTTAAGACGAGCGGGGAGGGCCTCTTCAAAACAAGAAAGAAAAGAAGAAAAGTGGGCTCAGACAAGCCCTCCACACGTATCTCGGGAGGCAATCCTGCAGCAAGTGGGCTTTAGTCCTCGAAAGCTCACGCCGTAAGAAGTCCATCCGCCTTCTGTTTCTTTTGCAATAGGCAAGACGCCGATCGGCCACTAGAGCTGCCGTCCTCCAGTCCGAGGAGGGAGCAGAACCTTAAGCACGCGGCCTCGTTGCTAGGGGGAAGGCTTTTCGGAGGGACGCGACCCGCTGCCGGGCAGGAGAGCCATCTCCGCTTGTAGTCATGGCGGTGGACATCACGCTGTTGTTCAAAGCCAGTGTGAAGACGGTGAAGACCCGGAACAAGGCGCTGGGGGTACCCCTGGGGGGCAGCGACAATTCCCGCGAAGATGTACTCTTGCTCAAGCGAGGTAGCAGCTCCCGTACCAAAAGTGATTTCTCAAGCCGGGCCCGGGAAGTGGTGAGTAGAGGTGGAAGGGGAGGAAAGGAAAGGTCAGAACCTTTTTGTGAGTGTCTTGCGCCTCAGAGTCCTGTGGTGGAAACTGGTCCCACTGCCCCGGTGTTCGTCGCCTCTCACCGCTAAAAGTAGTTAATAATGAGGACAGATAGGCTTCAGGCTGAGGAACTAGTGCAGCTTTGTAAAGAGAGACAGAAGGATCCGAGGTCCGTTTTCTTGAGGCAACAACCTAATTGAAATTAAGTAGTGTAAACGCCGTTGGACTCGGTAAATCTACTTCCGAGGAAGTATGCATAAGATTGGATTGCAGTCCTGTGGCTGGAAACTGAGCTGCGCTCATTGGAGATTAGAATCGGGTTGTAATTCTGATTCTGGCTGCTTGGGAATAAATGCTAGTGAAATCGTGTTCAGAGGCTATACTCATGGAATATTACGGTGGGGGGACGCATAAACAGTGGAAACTATTTCCTCAGTGTCATATTTGTTGTATTATGAGGAGGATTTGTTTGGTCACTATTCAGAATAGAATGTTGTGCTTGACAGGCCTATAATTTGGTGCTGCAGCCTTTTAAGTTTTTATGTTTTATTTCTGAGATGTGTTTAGGATTGGGATCCTGAGCAGACATTGCAACCATTTCCATTGAAATTCATTCCATAGAAGTCCTTGGCAAGTTTAGAATCCAGAAGTTTCTTTAGCCCCTAAAATGTTCAGTCCTGGCAAAGTGCTCAGGTTTGTATGAAATTGCAATTAGAAATATGAGATAAATAATGAAGAGTGCTGAACTCTCTGATTGTAGAGGCACTGCTTGAGTTCTAAACTGACATGCTGGGACTCAGGACTTTGTGTTCTCATGGTGTCATGCTCTTTGAATCCAAAAGCCTATCTAACCGAATGTTGTTTCTCAGTCGGGAAGAAAGTGTGCCATGTGCATGTTTAAACTGTTATTTCCTATTCACATGGCTACAGACATTGAAAAGAGGCGTTGTGTTTAGATCTGATGGGATGTGTCCAAAATTAAGCCTTATGCATGGATGTTGCAAGGCTATAAAAGTAGGTTGTAGTTCGTGAATCTGCCCTCTTATTATTTGTCTGGTTGTGACTTTGTGTAATCCTATACATTGTGTGGATATTTTGGGCAATTGTGACTAATATTTACTTATTCAGAAGTAAGTTTAACTGAGTTCAGTGGAGCTTATTCCCAGGAAAGTGGATACAGGACTGTATTTATAGCACCTTGCAAATCAGCAATGTTTTCTTGAGTGAGATCAACACTCTTCCTGGGTACAATTTCCCTCTTCATCCCTGGAATAGAACACTCTCAACTCAAAAAGTGGGTGTTGCTTGCTCAAACTGTAACTATGTACCTCTTCATTGAAAGATTCTGATGACCATAGTAGGATCATTGCTCAATGGTTAAATTTTATGTTCAGTATTTTACAGCATAATGCTAAACATGTCTACTCAAAAGATAACCCTTCCAAGTGTGGTGATGCTTACTCTATGCTATAGAGTAGAATACTATAGTTCCTTTATAGTAACTGTCTTTAGGATTACAGCTTTACAGAGTAGTCCTGCATGGGGGATTAAAAGCCCTTGCATTGGAAGCTCTGAGAAATCTGTAGGCCTCCTGGACTCCGGCTAATAGGACAGAAATAGTGTTGCTTTTCTGATTTTTTTTCTATCCCTTCCTTTCCTTCCACTGTTCTTCAGAGAACCACTGTAGCCTTCCAGTGGACTCCTATAAGATAAGGTCTTCATTTCTGAGGGCAGTTCCGTCTCTCTGTTCTTAGACTAGAAGATCGGAAAAAGAATACATCCCCTTGGACACCCTCCCAGGAAGCATGGGGTTGCTACCTTAGTTAACCTGCTCTAAATATATGTAGACAGATTCTGCAGACATATGGCCAGACTCCATATTTGGACCCTGTTTGCCTCATTTATTGTGGACAATGTGAACTCAGTGGGAATTTTGTATTGTGAGAAGCAGAGTTGACTATTATAGGGTATTTCTTTTTAGTCTAATAAAAGCCAGAATTTTCTAATGCACCAATGGCAAAGTTATTGGGAAGTTAAAACAGCTGGAATTTGATGGCAGGACTATTAAGCTTGCTCTGTTCAATCTTACTGCCTCTTTTGCTTTTGGAGTGGAAATGGCAGGGGGGGTGTTATTGCTTTTACATGGTACTGATGTAGGGGGGCAATATCAACTTACAATGTGCACTAGAGCAAAAGGTCAAAATAGATACAAAAGTATGTACAACTGAGCTGTAATGCTTATAATAGTGCCAGCATTTGATTTCAAGACATTCTATTTTATTATAGGTTGCATTGTCCATCCTAGAACTACCTCTTTGACATTACTTGCTCATTGTTTCTACTAACTTTGTTAAATTTCATTCTATTTTCTTCCTGTATTTATAACCTCTGTCAAAAGCCTTCCTCAGCCCCACCTCTAATGTTTCTCTGGGAACAAGATAAAAGCCCTACAAATCCCAGCCTGCCCCAAGCAACCATCTGACTGAAGAATGCTGGGAATTGTAGGACTTCTTCCTATCTAAAAATTCACAAGGCTGCACCCTTAACTTTTATGTGGTATATTTCAGTGTATGCTGATATTTACATTTCTGTTTCTTTTAGTAGTAGACTGTTTATTCTTGTAGTAGATGCAAAATATCAAAATATGTTGCTATACAAAGCTAAGATTTGGTTCTTGAAATCATCCTTCAAATTAATTGCTCCTACATTAATTGTAAACAAGCTGCTAATGTGAATGAGCTCCTGCTCTCATGCTGGAAATTGCACAAGTTATCCCTGAAAAGAAGGTCAGATTTGCATCTAGAGAGCTGGTGAATGCTTTCTTTGGTGGGGAAGGGTCGCAAAAGGGGTCACTCTTTCCTGGGCAGTAGCTCTTTAATAATCAGTGCATAATATTTGCAGAAGGACACCGGTTTAATCCCTGGCATCTTTAGTGGAAAGATCTCTCATAGACCACTGGGAAAGACTCCTGACAGAAACCTGAGACAGCTGCTATCTGATTGGACTAGATAGTACTTAGCTAGATACACCATTTGAGTGGCTTCTTATGTTTTGAGCTCTATGATGATTTTGTTAAACAGTTGATTGTACAATCTTATATAGTGATAAACATGCAATAAACTACATGACATGAGGTAATTATTTCTGACTACGGAGAAATAGTTGTGTCATTTGCTATCAAAGCAAGTCTTGGCTTTCAATAAAATTATAACTGAAGTGCTTATTGCAGCTACAAATTCAACTTCATTATATAGGGGAAGAATTCTCTTTCAGTTATTAACCCAGCTTTGTGGTTATGTATGGGTCATTGCTCCTACTATCAGGCAGTTTAACTTATAAATTTAAACCTAGAGTGCAGTTCTATGGGATTTCATCCAGGTAAGATGTAAATCTCCCATTTATGAGGCTTCTGAATATCCTGTGCTCTACCAGGCTGCCTCCAACAAGGCAAGAGAAGCTATAGAGGCAATATCCACCTCATTGTCCTTTGAATTTGCCCCCTCCTTCCTCAGAAGGCCTCTAACCCAGTTTAGAGGAGTTGCACTGCTGGGGTGGCACTAGGACTAAGACTGGAGAAGCCACAAAACATAGTGCATCCTGGCCTCTCATCTCTCCTTGCCACTCACTGGTACTCTCCTTGACCTCTATCAGTTAATCTGAGGATGATTTTGCAGTCAGACATCAAGCATGGCAGTTCAAAGTTCTGGAATGGAACAGAGAATAGTGTCCAGATACTATAGCAGGATCCTATACATTGGATTGGTGAAATGTTTACCCTCTTGGGGATGGTTTTCTTTCCAGTTCATTGCCCCAATCCAGATGGCATCAGGATATGGACTCCTCCTCCCACATGCAAACCATATGTCCTAACTCAAAGGGTAGTTTCTCAGAATAGTAAAGGGCATTAAGCAATCGCTCTGTGCCTTCCTCTGCATGGAGAAAAGGGAAGCCCCTCTCAGCAATAGAGAATGGTGGCCTTTTTCTACCACTGCAAAGAGAAGAAAACTTCATTTACCCTCTCTCATTGTTTCTTTGCTCAGTGATACAAAAAGGCTGCTTTTCTCTGCTGTTGGAGCACTTCCTGCTATCTCTGATTGGTGAGGTTTTATCTCCTTGCACTAGAAAAAGTCTGCCTTGAGGAGTTGAGCAAGCCAGATGGTGAACCTATCCAATCCAGAGGTTCCTCACTCCTGCTGTACAGAATAAGTGCATGTAGGATTGCCACCTAGTAGTGTTATCGTATGCATGTCTATTCAGAAGTAAGTCCCATTGAGTTAAATAGGACATATTCCCAGATAAGTATTTGTGTGTGTTAAGTTTCTAACAGAGGATGTTAGATTTTAAATACTTTCTTACCCATATTGTTCAGTAACCTGTTCCTGCTGTAACGATAACCTGTTAATATGACGCAATGTATTTCTTTTGTTCTTGCATCAGTTATCCTATATGAATGCATGGGTAAAGACTTCTTGTTTACTGTGAAATTGAGAATCCCCCCTTTCCCCTGCACCCTGTTTGGTGTTAAAATTATTTTGTAAAGCTTGAACTGGTAACACTAACACAATACCCTGCAAGATGATAACTTTCACTGCATATTTAATAAGGGTAGATTCCATATCCATTTTTGATATAATAGAACAACAGTTATAACAACTTTTAATGAGTTAATCAGTTCCTGCTTTATTATTATGTAATAACATATGATATTTGCCTTGTAAAGGATCCAGTTTTCCATGTCAGAGTGAATGTGGAGATTGGATCAGCTGTAGAAAAATGAATTGTTGTTTGGGAAAACCAGACCTCTTATCAGCTCAAGTTTAGCCAGCTATTATTTTGATAATTGTAAGTTGCAAAGCAAATTTCCCCATAAGGTTCAATGTAAATAAGATTAATCCGCTCTGTAACTTTTTTTTGTTTTAATCACAAAAATTTGAAGTGGACACGCTCAGGGGAGGAGATGGGTGTG